CCCCATAGCTAAATCCTTTACAGGTGGCTTCATAGGAAGGGGGAACTAGACATGCCCCTGTGTGCATTCCCTGTCTCCTGCCATATGATTCCCTGGTTTACCTCAGGACTCTGCCAGCGAGAAGTCCAGCATTACATGCAGCCCCTCTCTTACACTCACAAGACAGTGAGCCAAAGGCAACCTCTTTTATTGAGGTAGTAACCAATAATGAAGTAATTCAGTATCATGTTGAGAGGGGCCTTTTCTGTTCTGGCTGGTTAGAAATTTAGCATCTCTCAACTTTAATCCGGATCTGGCAGTGGTTAAAATTATAGTTCCCTTCGAATATCTCCTTCTCTCCTATTCACTTGTCTGTTTTATGTATGCTCAGACTAGAATTGAGCCAAATGACCTCCCCTGTGTCAGTAGCTGAGCTTATTCTAGCTGTGTCTCATTTTCGGGTCCCGTCGCCAGATTCTAGATACTTCAACTTTCCTAAAAGTGGAGCTCTTCCCTGTGAGTTCAGCGAGACACTGTGATCATCTTGAGTTGTTCTCTCCTGAAGCTGACAGAAAATTCAGGACTATCAAAAGACTTACTCTCTGGGATTTTACCTCTGTGCAACACAGTTATCCAGTGTTTGAAACTCTTGTTCTATGGACCATCAGAACTGGAGACAATATGCAGAGTCAATATAATTAAGTCATGTGTTCATTACTCACGATTTCTTCATATAATCTCTCCCCTTTCATAAAAAATTTGAGTGTGTATTAAAATATGTAGTTATAAAAAATATGTAGTTATATCCAGTGTGCTATTAGTGGCAGTGGAAAGTTCCCCATGGCTGGGACAGAGAACTTAGCAAATGCTGGGACTGGAAAGGCAGTTGTGGAGGACAGAAGAGCGAGCAACACTAAGGGTGTCTTCACTAGCAGCCTTGGGAACGGGGGTCTTTGAGGAGAAAGGACTGACTGTATCCTATTGAGCAGAGGCTTTTGAAATGTTATGTCTTTGAAAATTCTAAGAACCTTGAACTTGCCTTTCTCTTTTATGGTGGGAGAAACTTAAATAGATGATATGCTGAACAGAAGCGTCAGTGATGTGATGCTATGAGGATGAACGATCCTCACAAAGGCTCATGTGTTCAACGCTCTGTCACCAGGTCGTAGACCCAGCTAGTAAGGGACCATTGGATAAGTAGGCCAATTAATCAATTCTCTGGTAGGATCATAGCTTGGTAACATTATTGAGACATGCTAGGAAGTAGAGGATAGGGCTGATTAGAGAAAATGTGTCCCTGGGGCATATTTTGATATACACTTCTCCCTCTCTCTTTTTTTCCCCCGACCATGGTGTGAGCACCCTGCTCTGACACACACTCACAGAAGCATACACTATTCTGCCTTGCACAAGTCCAAACCAACAGATATCCTGCCAACCAAGAACTGAACTATGAGCCAAAATATATCTCTCCTCTTTCAAGCTGCTACTCTCACAGCTGAGAAAAGCTGAGGAAAATGAGTGGCAAAAGAAGTAAGCATGCTACAGAGCCCGGATCTGAAAGGGGGGAAATGCTCACAGGCATGGGGACTTCTGGAATGGTGAGAAAGACCCAAAAGCAAGATGGGGATATAAGATGTCATAGTTTTAGCATCAGGGTAAAATGATAGCACAGGCAGAGAGCAGAAAGCATTGATCTAAGTGCCCAATCTTCTGTCAGAAGACAAGTATGGTCTTAACCAATGGAATGGCAGCAGAGGCAGTTCTGGATTCTCAGAAAAATCTGAGAAAAGTTAGGTTGCAGTGGCTAGCGGCTAAAGAGAGCATGATAGGAAAAGGCTTGAAGAAAATGGAGTGTGTTTTCACAAAGATAATTAGGGGTTGGAGAAGTAGCTCAATAAGAGCTACCAATCTAGAGGCCCTGTGGGTGATGCTCAGCACCAACATAGTGGCTCATGACTATCTGAGTGACAGTGAAACTATCAAGTATGTAATGATAGAATGATGCATCGTAGCAGTAGACCCTTATTAACAACCAGATAAGGTGCACGGCCAAGAACCAATTCAAATATAAATCTTGGACTCTAACAATAAGAGTGTGTACAAAAGTCACCACTTGTAACAAATGAGCCTCATTGAAGTTGGAAGTTATCCTGGAGGTGGGGTTTATACATGCATATGGAGTGGACAGGAGAGATATATGAAAGTGTATTTTGCACTTAGCTTTTATATAAACATAAAACTGGCCTATGAAAATCAGTTTATTAACTTAAGATCTAAATTGGTATATCCAGCCTTGCAGACTTATGCGTTCCCCAAGGTATAGTGATTTGATGATTAACATTTCAAACGTGAGATAGAGTAGAGGCACTTTCAGGTCTGTTTTGTCAAGTGTTGTCAAGGCTAAGTTCCTATTGCCTACTATAGGAAAAGGTAACCATTCTACGTTATTCATAAAGCACGTGGCTCTTTGACATACTTATACTGAAGCAAAAAGGAGTTTGTCCTCTGCAGCTCCCTTGCCCTGGCAAGAGTAATTTGACATTGTTGCTCATGATATCCTATCTTTGGCTTCCAGGAAGTCGTCTCTGTGTTTTATTGTCACGTAGGAGAGGCTTACCAGCATATTGGGAAGATGGGGATGATGATGTGTTTTCTGGTCATGTTAAAGTGACCATCTGGAAGTTTACAACTTCCGTAGTGCATCTCTCCTTAAACTCATGCAGCCATACTGTGTTCCTAGGATATGCCTCTCCTGCAGGGTGGTAGTGTTTCTTCATTCAGACTTTCCCTAATAGGAGAAGCAGGAAAGAAATCAAATATGAATACTGTAGAGTATTGAATTCCAAGGGTTCCACATGATTGGCCACAAGTCCTTTAAACTGACCCACCTGCGGTTTTAAACAGTACATATTGTATTGTTAATATCAACTGGTCATGGGAAAAGCACCCTAGCACCATATTGCAGATGACATTAGGGGGATGTGGATTATCACAGATAATTTTGTGAATAAACTTGACACCAGAGATCAAAAACCAATGAGTTTCGATTCCAATCAGGTAATTAACTATTGACTTGTTATTACAGAAGATAGGCTATATACAGGGATCATAGGATACAGACACTGTCTGATCTATTTGAGATGCTGTAAAAACAAGCCATGAATTAGGAAGCTCATGACTAACAGATACTCACTTAATTCTGGGGGTTGAGAAGTCCAAGATCAGTGCACAGGCAGATTTAGTGTCTGGAGAAAGTCCTCATCTCCTACTCACTGTGACCTCGTAGTTTAGAAGAGAACCCTTTAGCCTCTTCAGTGCGTTACAAGGCAGCGCTAACTGCATTCATGTGAGCCCTACTCCCATGTCATTGTTCCTTCCAAAGTCCCACCTCTGGTACCATCACATCACAGATTAGGTTTCAACAATGCATTTGGAGAAGGACAAATGTTCAAGCCACAAAAGTAGACAGGACAGCCTCAATATTTACTGGAGTTGAAGATTACAAATGTTCAAGATTATCAGACAATGCAAACTATGATGTGAGGCATAAGAGACATGCAGAGAACAGTGGAGAAAGTAGGAGTAAAAGGATTGACTATTGCGAGAAAGCTCCATGGAAGAGAAGAATAATCTTAGTCAGGCCACCGTATATGCAGGGGATTTCAACTACCTCCAGACCAAAGCACACCAGGAGCAAAGACATGGTAGATATGCTACACAGGACATTCCGTCTTCCTCCTCTTGTATTTGCATAGAGATCGAAGCAGGGGGCATAAGTCTCAAAAACATAGAATCTGACAAAATTATGCTTGAGTAGCAGCCTACTAACCGTCTGTGAGATGAGGCACCCTAACCACACTGACCCCAGATTTAGTCACATGTAAAATAGTATTGATTGAAAAACACAGTTTGTGCTTCAAAGGGAATAAGAGATCCTTGGTTCTGGAGTCAACTATGAGTGATCATGGCCTGATCATGAGGGAACATAGTGTTCTATGTTCAAACCCTGTGTTCTAATGTGGAAGCAGTAACATGAGATTTTATTGGTTACAGAAGAAAGTTGTAAATCAAAGTATTTGCCAGATGTTTGGGTGGGTGCCCTATGTATGTGGTTTCAGATACTATTTGATGACAGTCCTTAGCCCCTGGGTTAGGGGAAACTACGAATACATTTTTCAGGTTTTATAGCTACCAGGATGTTAAGTCAAATAGGAGTCAGCACTGAATAGCTTCCAACATGACTGAAAGCCGAAGATAACTCTTGTGGTCATGAAGTCAGTTGTTGGCTTTATGGTATCTTTAACATAAGTGTGGTGATCTCCTTGACCCCAACAACTTCAATTCCCATGGGGACCATCTTTATAGAATTACTTATAAGGGTTAGATAAGAGAAAGCTTACAAGATTCCTTCCAGAACTCTCAGTCCCAGATAGGAGACTGATGAGAAAACGGTCCTGCTATTCTATGCTCTGGTGGCTGCCTCCACCTGTGGATATTACAGGGCTTTACAGCGGCTGTGACATTTGAATGGGGGCCTAATGTAGCAGGCAGAGGGAGCCAAGGACGAGCCTTTGCAGCTGAGGTTATGTTCAAAGTGATGGCTCCCTTTATGACCCATGAGGTAGAAATCAGGGAGAAAAGAGTGGCCACATGGGTGGCCACAGATAAAGGCTTATCATTGCCAGTTCAGCCCACTCTTTCTTACCTGATTCAAAATACCAAACTGTTCAACTGGGGAAAGACAAGACCCGCACACCTAAAACTCTCAAGTCATACAGTTTGCTCCAGCTGTTGTGTGTCAGATGTTCTGGTTATTTTTCTCTGAAGAAGCCAGGAGCCAGGGGAGAGGAAAAAAGAGACTATGTAGATGAGGTTTTTTTTTTCATGCTCCTGAGAATATTTTGCTTCATTGGTAGACATTTACAAGACATGATAGCTCTTTTAACACAGGAGTCTCTTAGGTGTTGATCGGTTGATATGTTGGTACTTTATAGTGTGTATCTTTTAATGTCTTCCAGGCTGAACACTTGCCGTTGCAGACTCAGTTCAAAGAGAAGGGAGCTAGTTGTCTTCAGTCCTCTGTAAGTAAAGCTCATGTTGTGCCCACCCAAGTACATTTGAAAGTCTGGTCAGATATCCATAAGAGTTAATTTTATCCATTGCTCCCTGTTTACATGTCTGTACATGACTTGAAAAAGTCCTTGAACTTTCTTACTCTTGCAAGTAATCTAAAGAACACTTCTAAGTAATCCCAGAAGCATTTCAGTCGTCTGCAGATGATTGAAATGCCCAGGCAGAAGGGGCCATTTCAGAAATACCAGAGAGCATGAAAGGGAGTTCATTGGAGACTAAGTGTGAGCTGCGGCTCTAGGTCAGTCAGAGGAAGGTGGAGAGAAGCTGTTGGGGCAGCAGTTTAAGTCTCCCTTTGATCAAGCATATGGTCAAATGGCAGTTCACTTTGCTCTGTCCGTTCCCTAATCCCCCAATGCTGAATCTTGATGTTTGTTTTTGTTTTGTTTGATTTAATTCTCTGACTGTCTCATATATTCCTTCCAAGCTGAGACCCTGTTTGAAATGCTCCTGAAGGTCACAGCCATGCTCTTCTCTAGCCTACCCTGATCGGTACCAATTTCAAATTTCAAAACCTAAAATTTCTCACAGTCCCCTTAGTTGGAGCTTTGTAGTTACCCTCTTATTCGAATATGGTGGACACCAAATGCCTGGAACATGATGAGCTGTTGAACTTTGCCTTGCCATCCAGCTCCTTGTGGGATAGTGAATCAGGGACATGGACTTTAATGAGTTCAACTTTTGCTTGTTTTTGTCAGTGTGCTAGAAGAATGTAAACAGTTTCTCTGCTAATGTAAGCAATGTTTGATTTTTTAGAATGGACTAAATAGCAGATTTGATTATGAAGATGAGAACACAGTACAAGAGGATGGATCTCAGCAGATGTACCCCCTTTACAACCAGATGTGCTACCAAGACCCAAGCCCTCACAAACATCACTCAAACAACCCTGAGAGACCCTACATCCACCCACGAGAACATTATGTGTGATTTTCCTCTTGTTGTAACGCGTGTTCTAACGAATGCTTATTCTTAGATTTGAGAGAGAAACTGAGGCATCTAAACAGTTTCAGTCTGAATGTGTTGGAACTTTGAAGATGGCTCTGAACTACTAGTGGATTTCTTAACTTCATTAAGGGTTTCTTAGCCACCAGCTGTGTTTGCGAACTTGCCTGTAGCTTTGCATCTCTGTAACTTTGGTGTTTAACTACTAACATTGTCCTACAATGGCATGTTCATTTGAAATCTCGGCAGCTGCCTGTGATGACTGCAGGGAAAGGGCCCAGCTGCTGGCAGCCACTCTGCTTGGGTCTCAGGCAGTGCTCGTTTGTAATTTAAACAGGTGGGAAAAGGAGCTCCAAATCCAGTTCACTAATTATTAAGCTGGGATTTAGATATCCCTAACATTTCAGTACGATTACAATACCTTTGTACAGAAGCCAAGGAAAGAGGCGGACTTGCCTCTCTCCAAACAACAAAAGCAATGAGAACCTTCAAGCCTCCGAGTGCTTGTGAACCAGTTTTATGTTAAGTGTCCTTCCTGGCCATTAGGCTCCAAGGGCTTCTTCACAGGGCCATATGCCCTCTGTCCCCTCATGACGAGCTGTGTCTGTAAAGTCTCCCACTTTGTCCTTGTTGCGTCAGCCTTTTTCCCACTAACTGAGTCCTAAAATCCCTGTCAAAATGGGCTGCAGTCCCGTTAGCTTTGCCCTTCTTTTTCTGAACGTGTCAAGCTCAGCTTTCACTTCTTAAACTGATTTCAAGCCAGTCTCCCTCCACGCAGGCTTTAGCTAGCTACTCTTCTGCATTCTTTACTTTTCTTCCCTGTCTTATCTACCTCAACAAACAAACCAGCAAGCCTACTGGAAATCACCATAAAATAACTCCCACTCTTAAAAGCCAGGAGAAAAATTTGAAAACTATTTTTTTGTAATATTACTTCTATATGACATGTTGGCTCAGTCTGCATGTTCTCTATTCCTCCTCCCCACATCACCTGGTCAACAAGCCTAAAGAGATACTCTAAATTGGATAATACAGTAGCCTCTCTGCCAGGGTGAACAGCTACACCGTGATGCTGTTATGCCTGCTCATGTCTGCCTGGAATCCTCTCATCTCCCTCTGCCAACTGTCTATCACTGAGACTGACAATGGTCACAGAAGGAAACCTAAAGCAAAAGGATCATGGGCACATCTTGAGGATGTCACTTTACTATGTATTCTGGATGGTCAGAGCATGTCACAGGAATTAAAAAAAAAATAAAGCACTATGTACTTGTTACATATTAAGAAAGAGTGGTATCAACATCAGAACAAACAGTATACATTTCCAGCCTAAACCACAGAGGAAATAAGAACATTCCCAGATTTATAGTGAAATACCAAAGATACTTTATTCATGCCACACTGGCCTTGGGTTCCCCTTTGCTTCTTTTTATTGTTTGTCAGGCTTTCAGATAAGCCATGAAGTTGGTTCTGCTGTAGTAGTATACCCACCCAAACCACTTCCCCTTATCAGCAGTTCTAGGAGCAAGAATACTCAAATTCCATCCTACTTCTTTGTTTAGGATTGGTGCCTTTAGCGGTGACAGCTCCAGAGCACCCTGAGTCCCCCGTCTTCTCTGCTCCATCCCTGTGCTGCTCTGGGTGTAGTTGTCTGCCTTTGTAGCAAGGACCATGGCCAACTTCATTGTTCAGGACGCCACCACTAACTCACTAACTAAGTCAGTGTACCTCCAGTTACAAGATTCCTTGGGGTTGGTTTCCAGTAGATAGACGGTATAGTTTTCTTGGGTAGTGAACATTTCATTAGACCTCAATATTAGGGGCCAGATTGCGGAGCACCCCTGCTTTAGAAGGCTTTAAATATCTTAACACAGGAGAGAGTTGCTAGATTCCTGCTGGGAAGCAGGTCATAGAGTCCACTTCACAAAAGCTAGTTGTGGACACAGAGGGAGGGAAGGGGATGGCATCGTTTGTGACCGAGAAAAGGATCTGGAAGCCTCTTGTCCACCGTCTCCCTTTCAACGAATCTTAGTATTGTTATGAAAAGGCTATTTTAGGGTGTGGGTATTCTCATGCAGTCAGCTAGTTCACTATCATCTGCGCCTTTCTGTCAGCTAGGAAATTTCTTAGACATACTGCTATGTTTGATAGTTGTTGACCCCAGACAGTCACATAAGCTTCATAATAGCTTATTCTGGTATCTCCTGTCTGCTATTAAAAAGTTAACCAAATACAGAACAGCTTTAAAGGGGGTTGATTAACCAGTCCCCTCAACAACCAAATATTGCCACCCAAAATTAGTCTGCTAATTTTTGAACTTCTGAATTTGGAGCCTAGAAGACTTGATGGTACCATTTAAATTTGGAAGTTAGACTCTAAAGGTCAGTAAGTGAGGTTGAGGGACATGTTCACAGCTGCTCATGCTCTGCCCATAACTGTTCTGTCAAAGTTCACTGAAACAGGAGTAAATTGGTATGGCATTTCCCATGTACTGCCGCCACTCTGCATTCCAAGGAGACGGGTACATGCTCACTCTCCTCCCAGCCTCCATTGCCTATTTTACCTGCCAGCATTGTGGCTGCAGTAGCAGACCCAGATTTTTTGCATCTCACTACAGTGAAGCATGTGTACTAGCTAGGAACAGTCTGACTTAATGAAGTAAGAATGCAAACAGCAGTGATTTGTTATGTCTTCTATGAGAGTTCGTTTCAGCCTGACATTTTGTATGCTTTATATTTGAAGACATTTCTATGCTCTTTGGAGTATATGAAACTCTTATCCATGCTAACCATCTGTATAACAGGTGAATATGTGTGCACCCACACACCCATACACACACAGAAGACAAAAGAAATCCCCAGTAAGTGACCAAGTTCTCAACATTATTATTTTATAAGTCCTATTTGCTCAGAGAAAGAAGACCAAGTCCTTCTCCCCAAGTTGTCTTTTGTAGAAGTCTAAATTTCAAAAAGTTTGTTTGTTGCTCTTCTTTTCTTGCATTCACTGGTGGTATTCTTACTATAATATACAGCTTGCCTTGAAATTAGAGGATCCCCTGTTGTTTTCAGAGTCAACAGGACAGGTCAATACCCAGCTTTACCCATAACTTTAAAAACTAAGGAAAACAAACTATGTAGCGTATCAGCTGTCCCCATCCATAACATAGAGACCTTCCCCGTCAACCTCTCAGAACTGTGGTAAGAATTACACTAAGGAATGGTGGGTTCTCTCAAACAGAACTTCCTATGACTCCACTGTTGCATATTGAACTTCAACCTCCAGTGCCTTTGCCAGTATTTAGAGTACTGGAATTCTGTAGGAGAACCATTCAGCATGTGAAAATTTCAATTTGATCTAATTTAAATATAACCAATGGCAGGTTCAGACATTCCATTTATTATAATAAACGTTTATCCCATAAATGTTTTCTATCTGGGCCATGCAAGCCTAGAGACCTAAGTTTAATCCTTGAAGTTCGCAAAAAGTAGAAGGAACGGTAAGGGCCACAACTTGGTCCCCTCACCACCACTTGAGCTCACACACCTTATGCACATGCAATGATAGTAATAAATAAAGGCTTACCCGTCCAGCTTTAGATAGGATTGAAAATGCATACTTTCAAATCCACGATTGATTCTTTTTTTCAAGTAACTATGAATGAGGAGCTTTACTGAGTGTATTGTATGGACCGGGTTCTAGGGTCATCATTGTACATGAGTCATCTCACCTACTAGGGTCACACCCTGGTGTGTCCTCTTTCAGGAGCTGACATGGGAACAGAAAGGTGTATCCTCTCCCATCACACCATTGTAGGCTATGCAGATCATCATTCAGCTGTTACTTTTTTAATGCCCACTTTGATTGTTGGACAGTATAGTTGTCTTGGTTTTCTTTCTAAAGCAGAAATCCAAGCGCCTACATGGAATAAAACTATAAGAAATGTTAAAATAAAAGTAAGTACATGTGCTCACTTTTTCCCCTTCTGTCCACTAGGTTAACTTACATTAGGTTAAGCTACGAAGGCGAAGTCAAGTCAAATAGCACAGACCATACCAGTTGGTTCGGCTTTACTGGGCACAAATGTCTATCATTCTTTCCTGGACTTAATTTAACATGCTTCTTGTTATTTGTCTTTGTCCAGTCAAGATCCAACTCCCTAGATTCTAACACTCATACTGGGGACAGCTGGAAGGAAGCCAGAGAAGCATAAAAAGGTGAAAGATCACGATGCCAGGGTCACGACCTGTGCCTCTCAGCTTTGTGTTTTTCTTGTTCTGGTGCTTCAACAGCAAGGCCTTTCCTTCCTTGGGTCATCTGAAGACTCTAAAAAGAACCCAGGACTTTTATCCTTGTTAAAACAAAACCTAATGTTTGCAAACCTAGCCAAATACAGAGTGCAACAACAGTAACCCTCTTATAGCTGATGAATTCCTGGATTTCTTCCATTCAAGAATATTATAATCTGGCCTTTGCCAGCTGTTAGGCTATGTTGGTAGCCTTTGGTAGACAGATGTGTAAAGGCTACATGCCTCCTCCCCAACCTCATCGGGTAATGGTTCACACTGAAATCAGTATTTAATCTACTATGTCATGTGTGTTAATAAGCCAGGAGGCTCTAGAACAGTTTCCCAGTCTCCTATAAAGCTGAGAAAGTCCGTAGTCTGCCCTTCCAGGCAATGTAACACCATCTCGTGTCTATCTGAAAGCTCTCAGAAGTAAATCCAGCAATATTCTTCCTAATTGTGTCAGCCAGACCATGTTGTGTTTGACTTCTCCACAGTCTGTCGGACTTATCTATGGGAGGGCTAGCCCTACACAATGTGTGCCAATCCACTTTTCATTATCACCACCAAGTTGGCCACAGACATATTCACTTGCTTGATTAGCCAAGTGTCTGAAGTTAGACTGAAAATAAAGCATGTAGCAACAGCCTTAGAAGGGACCAGAGCTGCTGGTAGCACATGGAAGACGTGTGCTCCTGGTTAGGGTGTATCAGATATTAGCCAGCCACCCCTAGAGCTAAAACTAATCAGCATACTTCCAAGTAACTTCAAAAATTTAAAGTCTGGTGTAACAGAATTAGGTAAAATTTCTTAGGTTGTCATGCCCTCACCCTGGGATGGGATAGGACTATTTACTGACTGAAGTCAAGAACCGGCTGGAGAGTTGTGCTGACATCTATCCATAGTAACAACTGTATTTTAGGATGGACTGTCAGCACCATCAAGATTTATGGAAAAAAGCAAATTATCTGCAAATTGATAGGCTTCTGTCCTCTCGTTCCAATTACAGTGGATTTGGCACAGTTGTCACAAGAAAATGTTTCATAGGAGGCAGGTCACTCGGATGGGAAAAGAGCTGCTCTTGGTCTTAATGTTCTAACCAATTCCGAGTCACCAAAGGACTTTCTGAGCTAGCTCAGTCTTCTGCCACTTTAAAGGTGGAAGGCCACCCAGTTGCCCCTTTATGGCTTTTGCAAGAATGTTTCTAGGATCAGATCTCCTCGGCTCAACACAATGGCCGGTTTTGTGACCTACCCTGGGTTGGGTTTATCTCCACGACATGGAATTTGGCTGTGGAAGGTGATTAGAGGCGAGCCAGAGGGAAATCCTCCCTGGAAACCCAGAACATTGGATTTGCTACAGTGACTTAGAACTGAGCCCTGTCCTACCACAGATGTGTCTGACAGCCATGAGGAGATGGGCTATTTGTCTTCCTCCAAGGTTAATTTCCCTTAATGACACACAGTAGATCTGTGAAGCCCAGAGTTGCACACAGTTTTCCAAGTGACTGGACACCATTGTTTTGGTTTTCAATAACCTTTCCAGGAACAGGCAGGATTTTTAAATCCGCCCTAGTGTATTGATCAAACTAAACTCCTCTCTGAAATGGTATGCGTAGCCCAGGGTTCTCTATATTTTAACTACATGCAGCAAGTCTGTTGTGCACGCACTAGTTTATGCCAGCCCACACCACGGCTCAGTACCCCGGGCTCTCACACACTCTCCTGCAATACAACTGCATGATGCCCTTGACCTGAGTGCTTCAGTATCCAGACCAGTGTCCATCATCTTTATACGTGAAATCCCTAATTGTCTGTAAAAGTATAAGTAGCTGATGTTGCTCCTAGATCCCTGGACTATTCCACTTGTCCATCAGTAAAAGTTCCTGTTGCCCCCTTTTTCACTGTTTCCATCTCTAACCCAGTGCTATGCAATAAACCACCTCCACGTGGTCCTCCGCTCTCAACATCCCTACTTCTTAGCTTTGTCCCTTCAAGTCAGTGCTCTCTACCTCACAGGGGTTGGACCCTGGTCTCGGGGAATAAGACGGCTAAGGACTATCTTCAAGAGAGCACCTTCTTTCAAAGTGATTTTACAAAAGCGTCTGGGCTTAGAAATGAGAATCTCTCTAGCTATTATATTTTTCTATTCTTGTTTTGCTATTTTTACCTCTGCAAAGTGATCTCTGTCTGAAAAGAGGCCTTATCCTGGTTTTAACCTTCCCTCTGTTAACCCCCTCACCCTGAAATCTCCACCTTGTCTGTGCTCTGAACTTCTCACTCTGACCTAAAACTAAGTCTCTCAGTGGAAACCCCAACGCTTATACTGCTATTAAAAAATAATGATGTCTTCTGCAGAGAAATCTCTAGCTTTTCCTACAGGAAGCCAGTGAGGCCTCGCTTTGGCTCAGTCTAGGCCTCACAGCAAGCCTTCTTCCTCATATGTAAACTGAGGTATTGCTTCCCCATATCTGGATATTGATTCCTGGTTAATAAATGGTGGAAGCATTTTACACCTTGTTCTTCAAATGGGCAATCTAGACAGCCCTCAAGTAGGTGTGATCTAGCTGGATTTGGAATCCCTTTACCCCCAGTGTTTGTGAAAGAAACATACCTTTCTGTCTTCTTATAGTAGAAATCCATTGCTTGCTTTTTTAATTATTTTTATTTCGTTGTGTAGAAAGGGTTTTATGCTATGTGTTCCTGCTTGTGAGAAAAGACCCAAGTTGTAAATTTAAGCATTAGAACTGAAAGTCAACAGTGTATTCCAAGAAGAAAATTCTAGCTCAGATGTTGTAGACTATATAGAAAGAAGCATAAATATCTGCTTAGACTTTGATATTATATTTTACATAGTAAGTGTTACTGTGGTGGTTTATAGACAGTCCTTAAGTTTCCAGAAATTGTCTTTTATTTTTGTAGTTTTGGATTATATGACTTTTTAGATATAAATAAAGTCTTTTTTATCATTTAAGATTTTTTTCATTTATCAATAAATAAATTACCAAAATGTATATGAAGTCACTAACATGACCATGGAATGTACAAACTGCAAACAATCTGAAACATTTCTATGCTTGAGGCCTTCCTAGAAGAATTTCAAAGTAATAACAAGAGCGGTGCATACTTCAAACAGTATAAATAGGAAAATTTAGTATTGTTGTAGTTACTTATAAAAAATCACATATTTTATATGTATATGCATGTAGTGTGGTTATGTGCATGTGAGTGCAGGTACCCTGGGGGCTAAGAGGCATCAGATGCCCCTAGACCTGGACTTCTAGGCAGTTGGGAGCAGCCCTGATAGGAGTGCTAAGATCCACACTCAGGTTCTCCGAAAGAGCACTATGTGCTTTTAACCACTAAGCCATCCATTCAGGCTCCATATTACTTTTTAAATGAAGCGACATTTATTCCAGTTAGCAAATAGTTCATCATTCCTTGATTCTTTTAATCACTAAAATTACTTTCTTCTTAGTAAATTATATCAGTACCATTGTTAGTGGTCCTTAAGTGGTATTATTTAGCGTACTCTTTATCAAAAGCAAATGAACAAAGTGAGTAACTATGGTAAATTCTAGAATTTTCCTTGCTAGTCTCCAAAATCTCAAAATCTAGGAACCACATTTTAAAAGTAACCTTTTATTGAGTCTATAATTCATCCTTATAAAAAGTATTAAATTCCATAGGCTTTAGTATATTTACAGGGTTATGAACCATCATTACCACAGTAAATTTTTAAATTTGTTCATGCTCTCCAGAGTAAACTTATACACATTAGAGTTTCCTTCTAAGAAGCTCCTGACTTGGCCTTTTGGAAACCACATTGTCCTGTCTCTGTTAGCTGCTTATTCTGGGCATTACATATGTTCAGCATTATCCAATAGGTGGTCCTTGGTGATCCTATCTTTCATTTGCCTCATGCTTCCAAAGATAATCTTGATGCTTCCTACACTTCTCTCATTCCTAAAGCAGGGTCACCATAACAGATTGTACCCTTTAGCATGGGACATTTAGAGCATTTGCCTTTGGGAAGTAATTATGAATTGTGAATGCTACTGTTGTGAACATGTGTATACAGTTTCCATGTGGAATGGTTTGGCTTCCCTTGGATACATACCTAAGAGTGGACCTACAGGTCATGTGGTCTCTGTAGTTTAATTGTTGGCTTTTCCAATGCTGTTGTACCATTCTCACTATCATAATTATTTTGAGTCTTGGTGATCATATGAACCCTAGTATTTTTGTTGCAGGGCTTTTCCTGCTGTCTCTCAATGTTTCCTTATTTAATACAACTCTTTAAGGAAGAAATTCCATTCCTAGTCCATGAACAGTATAGAAAGTCTACAGACTATATGCCTGCCAGAATTGGACTTCTCACTGGAAGTGTAGACTTAGGGGACGAATGTATGGAAACAAGCATCCCACATACCCTTTGTATGCTGAAAAGCACAGAGGAAAGCATGAGCCATTAACCAACGTGGAAGATTAAAGAAAATATATAAGAGAGTTAATAAGTTACCTCACTACGTACTGGGCTGTAATCCCAGTGGTACACGCCTGTAATCCTATCACTTGGACCGTAGAGGCAGAAGTATCAGGATTTCAAAGGTACCATCAGCTACATATCAAGTTCAAGGCCAACCTTGGCTACACAAGACATTGGCTCAAAAAGAAAAAAAAATAGGCTTATCTGGAAAAAAAAAAACAAAACACTTGTCTGTGTCAATTGCTGGTTCCCTCATGTATGTATGATAACTGCAGCCTGAGTCCCACGTGTATGTACTGTTACTGCGGCCCATTTTAAGCTCCCGAGGTGATACTGCTGAGCCTGGTCCTTAGAAGGATTGCACCCTTCACTCTCTGAGCTGGAGCCAGCTCCTCCCACAAATCCCTGATGCCACTTTATGACCCATGGTAGCCAGTAAATACAACTAATATCTACACAGCTATTCTAGGTCTTCTACAAATTGCCCCTTTCATTGTATCACTAGACTATCACAGTCTTTCACTGTTTCTCAGTCAGTTCTTGTATCTTAGAATCATAGCTAGGTAGTCCCATATATTTTTTAAATCACATGAACATTTATAATGCTCAAAATGTAAGAACAAACAAAAATCTGCTTCAGAATAAAAAAAACAAGGAGGACCACACTCTGACACCCACCCCAGAAAAGTTCCCTGAAAGTGCATTTAGCTGGAGGTTACGTGGGTGAAAGACGGCCATGCAAATCGAGACACAGACATGTTCCACACCCATGGATCACTTGTGCATATTTAAAGCAGAGGAAACGATAACACAAAATTCAAATGACCTGTCTCAGTGGTTAGACATGCATGCAATGCATGATCAAATGTTTGGGCCTCTCTGTTCTTCACTCTAGAGGTTCCAAGTAATGCCTGAATTTTAGCCTCAAGTTTAGATTTCTGTTTCCACCAAAATACAAGGGGTTGTGTCAGGGGACAGGGGATTCCCTTCTATATCTTTTGAAAAAGCTCTGGAGAAATTAGATGAATCACCCAGAAAATAAGCAGTCATAACTTGAACCTTAAATAGCCCTCTGCAATTCTGCAATTCTGGTCTATCATTTCCCACTTGGCGTTGCTTTGTGTAGTGTATCTAAGTACATCCGTGCTTCCTTCTCTACGGTGTCCTGGGCGCCTCTCTTCTCAAAATCCTTTCCCTCCTGCTAGTGGTAAGGCACAGAATTCAGTGAGGGTTTCCCTCCTTTGCCCATGCATCTGTCTGTGCCAAGCAGAGCAAAGAAAGCAGCAGCTTTGCTAAGCAGCAATGCTGCTGTGCGCCCTCCCTACCTTGTATAGGTTGGCACGGATGGTCTTCTTAATTGCAGAAAGGCATATGGATATTGACAGCTCCCCATTGCCAGATCACCAATTGGAGACTTCCCACACGGGCATATAGAGACTGAGACTTGAGCGTGCTGTGACTAATTGTGAAGCAGCTCTGTGACTTCTTTCCTGGCTAAAGGAAAAGCAGAGCCTTTACTAACATGCAAAAAAATGTCCTGACACAGATGTCCCCTGCTGTGATCCAACAGGCTTCCAGGATTTTCCAGGAATGGCCCTTTGTTCCAAAATCAGCATGCTTATCCCCATAGGAGCCTCTCAGACCAGGCCCCACTATAGTGGGTTCAACACCCAGAGTCTGCACCCTTTGCCCTACTCCAAACATCCGGGCTTGAGATGGGAGTGCGAAGATGGGGACTGAAGGAAAATGGCCTCATGCGTCAGCCCATCTTTCGCACATTTCAGCATCTCCTGTGTGCTGCAGTTAGATGTGAGAAATGGTGCCACTGTACCCTTCTCTGCTGTGAATACAAAGAACACCCCACTCTTGCTAGGCAGTGGTGGTGCACATCTCTAATCCCAGCACTCAGGAGGCAAAGGCAGGCAAATATCTGAGTTCAAGGCCAGCCTGGTCTACAGAGTGAGTTCCAGGACAGGCTCCAAAACTACAGAGAAACCCTGTCTGGAAGGAAAAAAAGTGATGATGATGATGATAAACCCTGTCTCAAAAAATGAAAAGAGGAAGAAGAAGAACAAGAAGAAGAAGAAGAAGAAGAAGAAGAAGAAGAAGAAGAAGAAGAAAATCTCTATCTCTTTAGTTGCCCATTTCTAAAAAGGCAGTGTGATGTCATCAGGAGAGCAAGGCAGTGCTGCTTTGCTGTGTAGAAAGGATTACTTACAGAACAGGATAGCAAGATATCATTCATCAAAGGCCAGGAATGAAACAGCTGGGCTGCTGCTCACCAGTGCACGTGGTATGCAGTGGAGTATATGAGGAGGAAAAGGCGGGGTTCCTAAGCCAGCTCCAGGAGACCTTCTCTATATATTCTCAGAATATGCATGCTGTGTTTGCAGACTGCAAACAACATAAAAGGATCTGGGGTGTAGGGTAAATATTAGGCATCTGTAACTGTGCATCTTAAGACAGGAAGTAGTATCAGGCAACCAATCTAATGCATGTGTCACTGCTGCAGCTGCAACATGCATAGCTTATCACAATTGGGCCAAATAGTCCAATATGTCTCTGTCTCCATCAGCTGTTGAATATGGGTCACTCTGGGAGGCAAAGCCGTTGTCTACAACTGTGGAAGCACTCGCAAGGCTGGCGGCCGGCTTTGCAAGCCTTCCCTTGGTGGAGGAGGCCTATGGTGCTTCATGCCTGCCTTACGTGCTTAACAATGACATTCATTTTGGGAATCTACTTGAGGGCAGCTTCTTCATGGTTTTGGTGAGACCACATTTCTTCAGCTGGCTTTCAGACAGTTTCTAAATGTCATCTTATGTTAAATATCCAGTGAATCTCATACTTTTGGACCTACTTTCATTTTCTTCACTATCAAAGAACCCCTATGTGTGACTCAACATTCTGACACACGTGGGGCCATGCCAGAGGGCCACATGCTCTCTCAGCACTCAGGTTGTGTTTGCTGAAGGCTTACGAAAGGGAAAATTAAATCGTTACACAGGAAGTATCTATTTAAGATAGACAGTACCAAGATGCTTTGTGTGTCTCCAAAAAGCTAGTTGATCTCTTAAGCCATGCTGGTGACGCAGACTTGCTCTTTGCTGCTGGCAGGTTGGCTATTGACTGGCAGCAATACTTTGGAAGTCGTGCTGAAAGCAGGAGTCCATACTGCTAGCCACATTCATGACACCTGTCCGCTGTGACCATCCTTTCATGTGCCTATTCAAGGCTAATTGGTTAATGACCACCAGGTGTGCTTCAGCCTGCTCCATCACCCCACCCAAGTGATTGCATTCTGCTTCTTCAATTAGATGGGTTCTTGCTAGTGGATGTTACATGATAATACATCCTCATCCTTTGGACTCATTCACGTATACCCATGAGAGGCTCCCTTGTCCTAAATGTTCCATTCCTTTTCCCTTTCAGCCTTTCACTACTTCCGATGAGTCCTACCCCTCTCTTGCACAAGTACAGTTGCACCA